TTATTAAGTACGAATTAAAATATTGCAACTTTCAAATATCCATCCGCATTTTGTACTTTGTTCCGCATTCCAAAATATGAATTCCTCTGTCTCTCTCTCTTTGTTTTTGGATTCTTTCCCAAACAGCCTGGCGTAATGAGATTTCCCCAGAAAAGACATTCCTCTACGTCCTGGCAGAAAGTAACATTTTGATTGGCCTCAGGAATGCCATACATCACTAATAAGATACCCAAATTAAGCCATTATTATGGAGAAGCATCACTGTGAGCCGGGATTTGAAATGGAAACCTTTAAAATGAAGAATAAATAACATTGCTAAAGGTCACACGTTGCAGATACTTCAAGAACTTGTTTTGATTTGTCAATTTTTTTTAATAATTAACATTTCCAGTGGGGCGCTTGTTTCATTAAATTATAAATTACATTGCAGTTCATTTAGGAAATGTTATTTTATTTCCTTTGTTTAATTTAAGATTCAATTACTTAATTGTAATAAAGATCCTTCATTTTCGACATTTGTCAGAAATGACAAATTCTGCATAACTTTTTTGGAGATTTTATATGGATTATCTAAAATTTTACGCAGGAGTTTTACCATAATTTTCTCATTATAGTCACTGTACACCAATCCTTCTCAATTCTCAATCCTTTTTTTTTTTATTTCCAATGGCTGGCTACAATAAGCAATAAAATAAAAAGAACACAAAGAATATGAAAGCAATAACATAGTTACTTGTTTAGCCTATAAGGGCCCTAGCCTCCCAGTAACGACTATACACAGTAGAGGTTTGGTTTGTCATCTACTGTCATTTTGTGCACTCTTTAGGATAAACAGACTGGGACCTGCAGCTTAACGATTCCGAACCACTCAAAAACATCCAGACTACCAGGCATTCGAACCTGAAGCCTGTTGTACCAAAAGTCAGAGCGCTATCCAATTGGCCATCAGGCCTCTGCTTTTGCAGGAAAATGATGTATAGTTTTCCTTTTATTCTTTGCAAAAATAATTCGTTTAGGAATAAGTCAGATGATCTTCAAGGAATGTACTTCAAATACCTTGGGAGAAAAATAATCACAAAATTTCTTTACATATTCATGGCTTTCAAACAGATTAGAAATTGTAAGAACAATACGAATCCAAATTTTGTCTAAAAATATTCATTTTCACACAATTGCTACTTTACTGAGAAAACAAACAAGAAATAAAAAATTCTTAAGAATTCACCATCTCTCCGATGCACCAAAAACAATACTAGAAAGAGAGAGACTTGCATTTATTAAGTATAAATTAAAATCATATTACAATTTATAAACATCCATCTGCATTTCGTACCTTGTTCCGCATTCCAAAATATGAATTCCTTTGTCTCTGTTTGTCTTTGCATTCTTTCCCAAACAGTGTGGAGTAATGAGATATTCCCCAGGAAAGGCGTTCCTCTACGTCCTGGCAGAAAGTAACCTTTTGATTGGCCTCAGGAATGCCATACATCACTAATAAGATACCCAAATTAAGCCATTATTATGGAAAAGTATCACTGTGGCACTAGGATTTGCCATGGAAACCTTTAAATTGAGAAGTAAACAACATTGCTAAAGGTCACACTTTAAAGATGCTTCAAGAACTTGTTTTGAATTTTAGTGTTTCAATTTTTTTGTTCATTAACATTTCCAGTGGTGCGCTAGTTTCATTAAATTATAAAATGAATTGGATTTCAAGTAGGAGATGATATTTTATTTCATTTGTTTAATTTAATTATTTAATTTAACAAGGATCCTACATTTTCGAAGTTTATCATAAGTGACAAATCTTGCATAATTTTTTTGGAGATTTTATATGGATTAATTAAAAGGTTAAGCAGGATATTTACTTTAATTTTCTCATTAGAGTCATTGTACAGCAATCATTCTCAAACATTTTTTATTTCCAATGGCAGGCTACAATAAGTAATAAAATAAAAATAAGACAAGGGATATATTAAAACAACAGCGAGCAGCAAAGGATATCATATAGTGACATGTTTTGCCCATGAGGGCCCTAGTATCCCATTAACGACCCTACACAGTAAAAGAAACAAGTGCAGGGCAGACAGGAAGGTGGGATGAATCCATGTCCTCTCCAAGAAAGCTGAGCATGCATTTTGGATTTTCTAATATTTTCATTCGGAAAGGGCGATGACCAAACAACCATGGCCCGTCAGGATAGGTAGATTTTTAGCGATTTACTTTTCTTATGTGTTGTGTGCTTTACAACAAAAACTCATTAAACTAACAGAATTATAATTTATTAAAGATAAAGGGGGAAATATTTTCAGGGCGAGGAGGACAAGTGATAATACTTTTTTTTATTTTGATCGGGTTGAATCATGATTTAAATGTTTGAGAATAAATTTTTATTGTGCAGGGGACCCATTGCCAAAATTGTCGATCAAATCTATTGTCGATTTGACATAGCTTTGCCCAGGATGCACTAGTAAAGAGGTAGATACCACAAGGGGAACTGTTTTAAACCTGGTCTGATCAGGGATGCTTAGAATAGAGTTAAATTTTAGATGAGTTGCTTTCACTGAAATTATCAGAAAAGAGTAGTGCAACGTAGATCTGCCTAATCGTTGGTGCAACCTCGGCAAAACTTTGTCAAATCGACATTTGATTTGATCGACAATTTTAGCAGTGGACAATTCAACTGCCAAATAGTAATCCATTTTTAAACACTAAAATTATGATTATCCCCAGATCAAGATAAAAAGCATTATCACTTGTCCCCCACCGCGCCAACGACCATACCATGATTAGGAGACTGAAGACCAGTGCTCTGGTGCTCGGTACCATAGGTTTTTAGTAAGAATCCCGGCGTCCGCATGGAAGTTTGCAGTGGTTCGGAATTCACTTTAAACCGTAGGTCCCGATCTCATATGACTGTAAAGCGCCCAGTAAGACTTTTCACACACATCATTCCCAAACTATAAACGGGCAACTCAGCTCTAGGCACTGAGATGTGGTGTGGTGTAGTAGTAGTAGTGTGCCCCAGCCCCTAAATAATATTTCCCCATTTATTTTTAGTAAATTATAATTTTGTTAGTTTAATGCGTTTTTGTTGTAAAGCGCATAACATGAATAAATTTACTGCCTAAATATCAACATGATTTGTACGCTTAAGTTAAATAAAACCACTCATAAATTGCAATTAATCAATTAGGTTTTCGAACTAAGCTATAACTATCATATATCATATATCTATATCATTCATACAAAATCATTCATCTATACTTTCTCTCCTTGAAGGAGAAACATCTTAACAATTATAACCAATTTCACTCAAAAAAAAAAAAAAAAAAAAAAAAAAAAAAAAAAAAAAATGAAAGAGATAGAGATTTCGAAATTCTGTTTTTTTTAATTGATTAAAGTGAAATTCGCAATTCATTTTCTGAAGAAGATGCATCAAATAAAATTTCGAAATATTCATTAAGATATTGGTATGAAAAAAAAAAAATTACACAGAAAAAAAAAAAGGAAGATTTCATTGCGAAACGTAGAATAAATTTTATTTAAAAAAGAATAAAAATATGTAAATGTAATTTAAGAACATTTCAATTAAATTAGCAATGCGAAGCGAATTGAAGCGTGATGAATACCGCTGAAAAACTTGTTGCCAAAAGCGAAATGCAAAACATTGAAAAGTAAAAGAAGAAAAAAACAAATGAAAGCAATTTGATTACATTTTTGAAATCCACGACGGCGGAGTGAAAATTAACCAGACACTTGAAGTAAATTATTTATTTTTTTCGCTCTCGTTGGTGCGTGACTTGATGAAATAAGCCTAAAGGTAGTTCAGCAGATTTGCTTTATCTATGCAGTTCGCATTTTGTTTTGGGGATTTTTTTCTCTACGATTGCAAAAATATTAAAAGATTTTTTTTTTTTAATTTCGTTAATTATTACTTATTTTATTAAAAATTTTATTAACATTATTTATCATTTTATTAAAAAGTTAAATTTATTATTTTAATAAAAACTTTATTAAATTGGTTATTTATTAAAATTATTTATTATTTTATTAAAAAGTTTAATTTATTATTTTAATAAAAACTTTTTAAATTGGTTATTTATTAAAGTTTTATTAAATTTTTTTTTTTTTTTTTTATTTTGTTGAAAACTTTATTAAAATTGTTGTTACTTATTAAAATCATTTATTATTTCATTTAAAAGTTTATTTAATTTTTTTATTTTATTAAAAAATTTATTATTATGATATTTATTATTATGAATGATCTTATCGCCACAGTTGGATGAATCAACAGACGTAGTGGACAATGCTTAGTTAGCTTTTTGCGTATAAATGGTGGGCTTTTTTAAAAAAAAAAATAATTCATTAAAAACACTTCCAATGAATCTTGAGGTGAGGATGTATTTTCCACATTTAAAAATTTTGTCACGACTAATAAATTACCACTGCAGAAGTTAACTTCCAATATTACAGATAGTTCCCCTTCGTTGGCTGGTAAGAAACATTGGAATTATTGCTTTATGCAGAACAAGTACTTCATTTCCTAAATTTGTATCATAACATTGTCTTATACATCAAGAAGTATTACGCTTAAACACTATTGGTTTTAATACCGCTTGTAATAAAAATTATTAATTCTGTAATAACGCGAGAAATGCAGCACATATTACTGAAATTACTTTTGGAACAGGAGTTTAATTAGTATAATAGTCATCTTTTATATGCTGATATGAAATGTATAAGCCTACTACTACTACACCACGCCACTGTGTCTAGAGCTGAATTGCCCTTTTACAGTTTGGGTATGATGTGGGGGAGAAATCTGATTGGGCAATGTGACGCTCTACGTTCATATGAGTCAGGGAGCTGCGGCTTAAAGTAGATTCCGAACCACTACAGACATTTATAGCATCACCGGGATTTGAACCCGAAACATGTGGCACTAAGCGCAAGAGCGCTAGTTATTTGGCCATCAGGGCCCAAAAGAAAATATATTCTGTACCCAACAAGTCTCGAACCTAGGACCTTCCATGTGCTAGATGTATGTGATAACCACTACACCATTGGTACGTTTTGATGCATTAATAATTTAAATTATTACAGTTTTGATGCAGTATTAATTATAATTAGTTGCATTAATAAATGCAGTAATAATTTAATGCATTGATAATATTATAATAGCTAAATAATTTAATAATTTAAATCATGCATTAAACATTTTATTTATTTAATTATTTTTGTTTAAGAATATACTAAGGAATTAAGCTGATTTTAATTTGATATGCTGATTTGGAATCAAAAAATTACCTTAGCACAAAAATACCGGTTTAGTTAAATGTATGAGTACTTCACAATGTTTGTCAGAATAATCAGAACAGCAAGCCATTAGGCGAACAGAAAGTGTCTCAAAACGATTGTTGGTCTTGCGGAATTCGGAATTTTCTATTGTCCTAATCATGTCCGCAAAAAAGACATATTTGTGATGCCCATTGTGTGTATATGGGGTCAGATATCTCTTTGGGGGAGTGCACTGACCTATATATAATCCAAAGTGGCCTGAATGGACGAGTGGCTAGAGCTCTGGCGCTCAGTACCACAGGTTTCATGTTCGAGTCCCGTCGGTGCCATGGTTGTTTGTAGTGGTTCGGAATCCACTTTAAAAAGTAGGTCCCGGTCTCATATGATCGTAGAGCTTTGCGGGGGCATTGTTACTCCGCGTCCGTGGCTTATCTTCAAGCTACATGCGCCCCTGGGTAATGCAAAGTGAGTAACGTCTGTGCAGCGCTTGCCCTAAGGCTTCCAAGACCAAGCTGTCTAAGTGTTTGCCAGCTGCATTCGAAAGAAATATATATATATATATACATATAATCCGAAGAATCGTTTTAAATACTCAACTGCATAGAGAAGACTTAATTGATGCAAATTTTCATCATTGACTGCTTCACCCTACAAACGATCATGCCAGACAGAAAAACACATTTTCAAAGAAATTTAAGCATGATTATTTAAATTTACTGCCATAAAAATACTAAAAATACTATGAATTTCAAAAGATTCTTTCGGTTTTATTCAGGTCAGTGCAAAAAAAAAAAATACAATCTAATAAGCCTCAAACAGATGATTAAATTACAGTTATTAATGATTTAGTGCTATTAACTGATTTAGAAACACGCTTTTTTTGTGACAATTGCAGCATGGCTAGTTTGTAGAAGCACAAATGTTTGAAAACGCTTGTGGAGTGGCCTACAATCACTGCTTTCAGAAAATCATTTCGTATCTTCAATTAATCTGCTTGGTTGGAGTTTTCTGTATTTTCTCTCTTATGAAATGAAAATGTGGAAGTTTTTAATTATTCATACCTATCAGTGATCTATTTGTGGCATACAAATTTCTAGAAGCACAGAAAAAAAAATATTTTATTATTATTATTTTTTTTTTTTTTTAAATAATCATTACTCTGGTTTCATGCCAACATATAAAAGATTTTTTAATAAACCTACATTATTATTGAAGTTAAAAGATTGTAAACTGAATGCACATAAAATTCCCATCTTCGTAATTCTTTTTTTTTTTTTTTTTCATTACTCATTATAAAATTAAAAATCCATTTAAATGTGAACTGAAAAAAAAAGTATTTTTGTTTCCTTAAGATTAAAATATATCTTAAAATACAATGTTTTTCTTTCTTTCATTTTGCTTAAGGGGTAAAAAACATTTCATAAAGAATAATTTTGGGAGCCTTGTAAATTCCAAATGTAAAGCAAATTAATTAAGTACTTTTAGATAACAAAAGTGTTTTCTTTAATTTTTTCATATCAGAGCTTTTATTCTTCTTTAATATGTATTAATTCACCCTATTTTTGGTTCTTTATTATTCTTTCATGTTTTTCAAGAAATCTAAATTAAAAGTTTGCATTTTTAAAAAATACCAATAAATGCTAAACTATTTTTGGCTTTTTTTTAATTTTGGAAAAAAACATGCATATTTTTTCTTAATCTACTCTATTGTTTTTAGAAAAAAAATACTGCTGATTGTTGTACATAAAATAAAATGGCATTTCATGTATTTTTAATCGAAAATTTTTTTAAAATATTTAATGGTGTAATTTATTATTAATGCAATTTTACATACTTTTTAAGTAGAATATTATTTATTAATTAATTTGATATTAAATACATTGTGTATTTTGATATTAATCATCATGATCGACACGACAGCCCCATGGTGGTCGAAGGCCGTCTGCCTTCTGGCAAATTTCGGAACGAGATAAGTCTTTTTTATGGGGCAGAATTGCCAACCCGACGCCCAACGTTTTACAGCCATATTAGACAGGGACCTAAGGTTTAAAGTGGATTTCCGAACCTTACAAACATCTATGGACCAGACCGCTAGTGACTAGGCCATCAGAAACTACATGAATTTGCATATCGTATTCTGAAAAAGCGTGAATTTTACGTATACTGAGTAATTTTGTAAAAATTATTTATATTTGGACGTATTTTCCCATAGTTCTTTAATTTTTTTTGCAACCTGTAGATTAAATGTTTCGATTTTTTTTTTTTTTGTATTATTTCTATTAAAACTTATTTACTTTTATTTCATGCATTTGAAAATAATAATCCCAGAAATCATCCACAGCTTTTCATTTTACTGGTAAATAAATCCTTGGGAAAAACCGTTGACAATCTCTGTACCATTTACTCTAAATCAAACTGGTTTTGTGTACTCACTTATTTCTGGTATGGAAACATTTTGTTTCATTTGGATCAAAAATGCAATATATAGTAATTAAAAATATATTTACTTTCATTCATGAATTCGTAAATTATAATCTAAGAAGACATCCGTAGCTTTTATATAACTGGCGAATGTATCCGTATTCCTAATCTGTTGGTCCCAATTCCATTACATTCTTGCAAGATCTTCTGCTAGATATTCTGAATGCTATTTCTGTGTCTATTCGTCGATTTGATTTCAGCACAACTAAACTCCCACTCATGTCAGCAGACGATTCAGAACACATCTGCAGGACATCTTGCCAAGGCGTTGGATTGTCTTGCGGATGTGTTATTGAATTGTCTGATGAAATGCGTGGGAGTTTCTGGATGCCTGCAGATATTTTTTTTTCTAGTGGGGATTTTGTAAAGGGACTTATTTATTTAAACCTGTTTCATCTCGAGAAGACATAATGGGAAGAATTATTACGTCAGCAGGAACTGTTGAAGATAATGTAGGGATAACGGATGCTGTTGATTATACCTGTATTAATCTAAATCAAACTGGTTTTGCATACTCATTTTTCCTAATGTATTTCTGGCATAAAAATATTTTGTATCATCTGGACACAAGATACAGTGCTACAAAAAATGATTTAATTTTAATTTTTGTATCATCTGGATATAAAATACACTACATATCTACATATCGTCTATCATTGAAACTCTTGATCTACCTATATATTCTGGATACGAAATGCAATACATTTAAAAAATATACCATATATAATACAAAATTACAATATATTTAAATACAATATATTTACTTTACTCATGCTTTCGTGAATTATAATCTCAGAAGACACCCATAGTTTTCATATTACTGACATTCATACTACCCTTTCGTAACATATTTCTTGCATGGAAACATTTTGTATCATCTGAACAAAAAATACAATGTTGCTAAAAATCACGTACTTTTACTTTATGCATCATCTGGATATAAAATATACTACGTATCTAAGTATCATCTATTAGCTAAATATTCTGGATTGGTTAGTCGCTCTACGCTCATTTTGTGCGCACGATGGATAAACAGCTCGGGACCTACAGTTTAAAGTGGATTCCGAACCACTCACAAACATCCATTCTACCTCCAGGATTTCAATTTGGAACTTGTCATACCAAATGCCAGAGCTCTAGCGACTAGACAACCTGGCCACTGACATATCCTGGATACAAAATACAATATAGACATGGATAAAAAATATCGGGATATTATCTAGATACAAAACGCATTTTTCAAAATCGTAATAACAATTTTAGAAATAATTTGTTCGTAAATAATAATCTCAAAAAGCATCCATGGCTTTCATCATTTTTGCAGACATTAAAATGTAATGATTTCTACCTTATTGATAAATAAATGCGAGGGAGAAATTATTGTTGGGAAATCAGTTTTAAAACAGCTCACCTACTCAACGCTTACAAGCCAGTTCTGGCTTGGAAATTTTTTGTATCATGTGTATCCACAAGTTAACACAGCATGCCTTGCATGTTTACATAATATTGACAGCCAAATGACAAGGTGTAGTGGTGAATAAAACCCTTGCTCGGCGTTTTTGGTTCATTAAGGGGAATTTTGTAGTTTTGGAATAAACGGTTCTCACGCACGGTGGCAGGAAGTTGCCATTAATCTTAGCCCTACCATCCATCTTCGCTCAACAAGCACCCCTTCTTGAACACACACACTTGATCCAGACAAAAAGATATTTATTCAGAGCGGGAAAAGTGCCAAAAGGATCAGGTTAACTTCCGCTTAAGCTAACTATTACTCTCTTCAGACAGAATAATAGTTTTGGTTTTCTTCGAGGCACTTTGGAACAGTTCATGAAACACGTACTATTCCATTGTTCGCTTTAAACCTCTTTCTTTCTTGGAAACCTTCTAATAAGCCTCGTTCACACGCGTAAAAATGATGAAAAATGAAATTATGACTGTAAAAATAATGGCTTCAGTTTTTTTCCATTTGGTTTTGACTAATGTTTAGCTTCTTTTTAAAAAGCATTTAAAAAAACTTGTCTATTCGAGTTCTTGAAAATGGATAGGTAAATAAACAAAAATTAGAAAATTTATTTATTTGAAAAAAATGTAAAACAGCTTTTATAAAAACTAATATCCAGTTGAAATTACTGTTTATACTACATATAAATTTGTTTGTATCTTAAATAATATTTATTTTAAATAATTTTTTTTTTACCTTTAGGGGTGCAGTATCCAAATCAGCATCAGTATCATAAATTTTCCTTTTAAATCATTTTTCTGGCAGTAACAATACTTTCCAAAGCTGTTTA